ATTGTATGTTACATGTTGCCTTTCGCCTGTTCATTGTGTGGGCTGTGAGTTATCCATTGTAGTCTCATTTTAGGGAACAACTGCAGGAAACAGGCGCATTCAGGATGTTCCTCGCATATAGTTTTTCTGTACGTGTAGATAAGTGACCCTATGTTTATATGTATATTCCCAAAAGCAAACAGCAGTTTTCGTCCTGAGACTACTTGTGAGCACAGGCATATATGTTACTATTATTCATTCGTTGTAGTACAGTTGCGCGTGTCCGCGTCCATAGACATTATCATTCGTATCCAGGGGATCGCGCATGTTTGCTGAGAATATCTCTGCGTGTTCAATTGTGGTTTATTGCATACAGGCCATACAGAGAAAGCCAGGCAGATACTCACCAAGGGGTTGACGCGGAAGGCCCAGCCTACGGCTAAGCTCAGAGCTACGCTGAACCCCCTCTCAACCGACACCAAGCGCGAGCCTACAGCCGCAGTCGCAGACAGTTCGGTACATACCCGTGGGCGCGCGTATGTAGGTAGTCCTATGAGTGCGAATGTAGGTAGTCCTAGGAGAGCGAACGTACCAGCGGATACAGAGAAACGGGGGCAAACAGGGGACGTGGGTGTTGAGAGGGAAGAACACGCGGGGCTGGCACCTGGCGGTGTAGGTATGGGTGCTCCTGGTGATGTAGGTATGGGTGCACCAGGTGATGTAGGTATGGGTGCACCTGGTGATGTAGGTGTAGGTATGAGTGTACCTGGAGATGCAGGTGTAGGTATGGGGGGAGGGGCAGGGGAGAGTAAGAGTGCGCATGCACAGCCCACGCAGCAAGCGGTGGACGGCAACGCGACAGCTGTTATAGTGGAGCAGATGAGTGCAAACAGGACACACAGAACGGGCACGAATGGCACTCTGACGACACACACGAGCACCACACAAGCACAGGCACATGCACAAGCACAAGCACAGGTACAGGCACAGGCACAGGCACAGGCACAGGCACAGGCACAGGCACAGGCACAGACACAGGCACAGGCACAGACACAAGCACAGAGCCACACTTGGGCCGAGGCAGTGTACACCCAGGGTAATACAGCGCACACACAAGGCAGCGCTACACGCACACAGACACAGGCAAGCAAGACGGAGACACACGCGGATGCTCAGGGGAGAGGCAGTGGGAGTGTGGAGGGGAGTGGAGAGAGGGGTACGCGCGCGAGTTATGTGCCCGGCCACACACACACACAGCACACACAGCAGACAGGCATACACACACACACACAGCACACACAACAGACAGGCACGCACACGCACGAGAAAGCCATGAGGGGCTCTGGGAATACTACAACCATCAGAAACTCAATCAATACGTCGGTGATGAGTACCAGCACGGGGATGGGGAGTGGCGGGAGCAGTCTTTTAATAGATTCGCCCAATGAGAGCGGCAGCTCTAATTCGTTCGTATCCATGCTAGAGGCGGACACGCCCGTGCCCATACAAACACTGCAGGCTTTACCTACCTCGGGAGTCAGTTCGGTATCAAAGTCGAGGAATATGCTGAGTGTGAACAACAAATATATGCACATGACGAAAAATATGCACGCACACGTGGAACGGAATGTGGAACAAAATGTGGAGCGGAATGTGGAGACGAGCAAGAATTTAAAAACAGAACTCGACTCCGGCGTTCGCGCGGAGAGGCAGCAGCCAATCAGAATGCTCGACAGATTGCCGCCGGTGGAAACATCCGACACCAGCATGATGGACGATACCCTACTGAGCTCACAGGGCCTCACTCTCCCAGGGCAGGCGTTGCAGAGTATGGTTAATAAGGGTAAGTGTGTGGGGAGTGTGGTTTTTATGGACCTATGTGTACAATCTCATGGGGTAGATACTCTTCTGTGCATCTCTTGTGTGGCGTTGGTTGTTTATATATGTGTCGCCTCGGGTGTTTAGATAGAAGGGGCTGTTAATTCGGAGAATCCCACACGACTAGGCCAATTGACAGCGGGTGGGGTGAACAAGTTTATAGTTTCGTGTTGTCCATGCTGAAAAGTTGTATTATATCGTATATAAATAGTATTTTATTGTATATTAGTAGTATTGTGTCGTATATTAACAATATTTTATCTTGTATTAATAGTGCTATATCGTATTCTAATAGTGTTTTATCATATATTAATGATATTATACATCGTATATCATATTATTATATCGTATATTAATAGTATTATAACGTATATCAATATTATTGTATCGTATATTAATGTTGTTATAAAACATATTGTATAATATTGTACATCGTATATCAATATTATTATATCGGATATAAATAGTATTATATCGTATGTCAATATTTTAATAACGTATATTCTTAGTATTATAACGTATATGAATAGTATTGTATCGTGCGAAAGCAATTTTTTTCACGTTGCTTCTCACTGCACGTGTCTGCAAGCTCACGATGTTTCTTCATGTGCACCTACAAGGCTACAACTGGACTTACAAAGACCAAGCACCTGAACTATACCAAACGATTTTCGTGTATGTTCCTAGTGTTTGGATACTTCCGAGACGTGTGATCGCTTATTGTAACAGACTTCAGCAAGGATCCTTCCTGTACAGTAGGAAGGGTCAACTACCATATCATATCAGGGATTTCAAAAGGTCTTCGACTGTATTACTAGTGTTCGTGTACTTTCGTAGTATTTGCACATCGGAATATAATTATCACTGACAAATCTCCCGCACTTTGTCCCGTGGCAGAAAACGAGGTGCCTTCCTCGGCGATACGATCTATGACGAGCACGGGCGTGCACAGTAACCCCCACGCCCACACCCACTCACAAACACAAACACAGACACAGACACAGACACAGACACAGTCACATTTACTCGCATCACCACACACACACACACAAAACCACACAGATCCACACAGCAGGCATGCAACGCACACACGCGGAAGCGTGGACGATATGGACACGGGCGAGCGTGTGCGTGCGAGGGCGGGTGTGAGTTTGGATGTGAGGCTCAGAGGCTATTCCGCGCCGCAGGTGTCTGGTGTCAAACAAGGGTCGGGTGTCGGAACATTGTCAGAGAATAACGTCGGTAACCATGGCGACGGCGCCGCGCCACGAAAGCCGCTGGGGAATCTGATGGTGCCCTCTCCGGTTGCCATGGCAACGCAGAAGTCAGGAGACGGGCAGAGACATATGGGCACTGTACAGCAGCAACAACTCTACATGAATAATCAGGATTCACACAATCTTCACGTACATAACAAAAGCAACACCAGTGCGCAAGATACAAATAGCATGCACGCTCATGCGCGTGACTCGGCGATGAGGAACGGGAACAGCGACAATTTCAGCCAGCATTCGAGGATACCTACATCCCTATCTCCAAGCGGCTTGCCAACACACGCACAGCCACAACCGCATCCTCGACCGGCCACCACATCACGCACACAGTCACAACAACCAGCCTACACTCACGCGCAGATATCAATGTCCGGGGGAGGTAAACACACACGCACGACAAAAACACACGCCGACGCGAGTACGGCGCAGATGCACACACACACACACACAACACACACGGACGCACAACTGAACTATCTGGAAGGCCTCCGGACACAGTCGCGTGAGGATGTGGGGTCACGGTCTGGCCCGAGTGGACCATCCGACACAAACACACGTGCGAATTCACACCCGAGCGATGCCGTATCTGCGCCACACACCGGTGCGAGTTTGAGTGGGAGTGTGGGAGTGGGTGGAGGTGTGGGAGGGCATAGGGAGAAGGAGGGCCGGGCCGAGGCAAACGAGGAGACGCCGTTTGTGATGTCTAAGACACGCTTGCGCACACCTGTTGAGCCACACAGCCCACCCATGGCCACACCCATGTCCAATCCGCGGCTGAAGGACACCCGCGCTATGGTATGTGCGCGAGAAAGGGGGCAGTGAGTGGGAGAGCGGGAATAGGATTTAGGGTTTAGGGTTCAGGCATAGGGCTTAGGATTTAGGGTTATAGGGTTATAGGGCTGCATGGCCACTGGCAGTACTGTGTGGCTAGGTGTGAGCATGAGAAAGTGTGTTGTATATTGGTACGTACCACCGCCATTGGGTGCGCGATTGCAGGAATGTAGAGAGTAGTTCGTGTGCTCGTTGGTGTATTGATTCCCATACAGTATGATACTCCCGGGTATGTAGCTAGCTGGTCACGATTTGGAGTGTTTCGTATTGCCTTCTCTAATGATAACCCTATCTAATGATATAGCCTTCTCCAATGATAGCCTATCTAATGATATCGCCTTCTCTAATGATAGCCCTATCTAATGATATAGCCTTCTCTAATGATAGCCTATCTAATGATATCGCCTTCTCTAATGATAGCCCTATCTAATAATATAGCCTTCTCTAATGATAGCCTATCTAATGATATAGCCTTCTCTAACGATAGCCTATCTAATGATATCGCCTTCTCTAATGATAGCCCTATCTAATGATATAGCCTTCTCTAATGATAGCCTATCTGATGATATCGCCTTCTCTAATGATAGCCCTATCTAATAATATAGCCTTCTCTATTGATAGCCTATCTAATGATACAGCCTTCTCTAATGATAGCCGATCTAATGATATAGCCTTCTCAAATGATAGCCCTATCTAATGATATAACCTTCTCCAATGGTAGCCTATCTAATGATACTGCCTTCTCTAATGATAGCCTATCCAATGATATAGCCTTCTCTAATTTTAGCCTATCTAATGATACAGAGAGACATGTATACATAAACTTGTATCGAGGTCCGTAAAACGTATTTAGCCTTGTGCCTTCATATCGTCCCAATCAACAGGCGAGTACCACATCGCACGATACGCCGACGGTGGCTCCTATCAAACGGCCGAGGACAGATACAGACAATGGGCCGTACACACACACCCACAGCTCGTATGACAACGCACAGGCACGCCATTCGACGAACGATACTAAGCCTCAACCACACACACACAACACATGTAACGACGTACACGCACACCAGCGCCTCCCCGAGGGCTCGCACGCAGACGACGCGCTTGCGCAACGGGACACACAGCCCACACACGCACACACACAACAACACACACAACAACACGCACAGCCACCATCACAACCGCCACCACGTATGCACACACAGAGCCACGAGCTACACAAACAGCCACAACAGTCCGACGCACAGACACACAGAAGCGACCGGCCGCCCACCGGCGAACGGTTGAGTGCACAGGCGTACGCAGACAGCAAGCGTCCAAGGATGGACGACAGCGGATTCAAGGTGCCCGGGCCGCCTCTCTCGCTAACTCAGGGGGGGATGCAGGTATGTGGGAGGGGAGTGTGTGTGTATGTATGTATGTATGTATGTATGTATGTATGTATGTATGTATGTTTGTATGTGTGTGTGTATGTGTGTGTGTGTGTATGTGTGTGTGTGTGCGTATATATATATATATATATATATATATATATATATATGTGTGTGTAGTTGTT